TTGGTCCTTGTAGCCCGACAGGGTGCCATCAGCGGCCGAAAGCACGAAGTAGAGTTCGTGCCAGGACCGAGCTGATGCCTTTTTGGTGGCCGACTCCCATTCATGTTTCCGATGAAGATGAGCCTCAAGGTTGCCAGGAGGTGGACGGCCAGAGTCGATGCTTTCGCGGATACTACGGCTCGTCGGAGTTTCAACGCCCGGTCGTCCTGGTGCACCTGCGGCAGCAACAGCCGCTTGGGCAGGAGTTAAGGGCACCGGTTGTTTGGGCGGTTGGAATTCACGGGTAGCATCAGCAATCTTTTGCTTCCTGAGCTCAAGACGGGCTGCTTCACTTTCCGGTGTTCGCTCACTTGCTTTCAACTCAAGCTGGAAAAAGAAAAGGTCGCACATTATAAGTAACAAAGAGTAGGTTGTCAATTTCAAAGAAAAGTCCACTGGAAGTTTATACGTAAAAAAGCGCCAAATGCGCGACGCTGCCGTAGAGGAACCAGTAAAGCGAGTCGGCTTACATGAGTCAATTTCTGGAGAGCCAAGAAACGCTCCTCCTGGGTAGCAGCAGCACGTTCGAAGGCCAGATGCTTCTTCAAAAGGGCTAAGGTTTCGTCCAAAGATTCACCAAGATCTGAGCTCTTGACGAAGGATTCTTGAGCGATTAGCCAGGCCTCTGCAACAGCAGCATCCCGAGCGAACTGGTAAACTTCGAGGATGAGTTTCAGGTGCTCCCATCTGTCGCTCCATTGTTCAGACAATAGAATACGCTCCGTGACAAGCTACAGAAGAAAAAGATTGTTTACTTTAACGCATAAAACGTGGTCGAAAAGAGCGGCTAGGTGAAGACAAATTCTCCAACTAACCTGAATGCATTTCTCGCGGATTTCTTCTTGGCGTGGGTGGTTTCTGTTCAACAGTGTGCGACCGAGGCTCAGACAAATGCTGAAGTTTTCTTCGCGGGCATCGATTTCAGCTTCCAGACTTCTATGATTATTCATAAGCAGCTCAACACCCGAAATATCCCTGAAAATTAAGAAAATGTGTATTATCTCATGGAATAATGAGGTTAACGTTAATCGCGAGTTCCGCGGTAAACAAAAAGAGACTCATAGTCAACTTGAGATTAACAATCGACTTTACTATGGCGATAGGACCACAAGAGGTATGGGAACGCACAAATCCTATGCTGAACAAGTAACCAGTTAAACAATATAGATGCCAATTTTCACGCGGTTAAAAACGCCATAGGCAGAAAATATGAAGATGAGAATCCTAAAGAAAGGTGGAAAAGTAACATAAAAAGACTTATACGGGTATATGCGGTCATGCTGTCAAATACTTAGTCGCACTCGGTGCGAATAAAGACAATTCCAAACAGATTTTCTACAAAGAAGAGCAAGATATACTGCCTAACTTTCAGTAGTGTTACCAAGTTAAAATAAAACAAACCTTGGCTTCTCCTTAGAGCTCATCTCAGTCTGCATCATT